GCAGTGCTCCTGGGAGGTTTGTAAGCCTCGGTGGGTAAAGCTCTGGGAAACCTGACCTGGCCTCACAGGTGACCCTGCTCTGAGCAGGGGCTTGGCCTGAGCCCACTTCCAAACCAGGATTACTCTGTGCTGCTTTCTTCTGCCTTACCAAGGTCAGATGTCAGACACTTTCTTGGAGACAGAGTTGTTCTTTGAAAATAGGCAAAACAGTGTCTGAAACATGCTTGGGCACCTGATGGAGCTGCTGGAAAACCCACTCCTTTATTTTTGGCAGGAGTTTGCTCTATAAAAGAATATTCTATACCTGAGTCAGGCTTTCAAGGTTTTAGAAGTCTCATTTTGCCGTTGAGCATTTTGACAGCTTTCTTTTCAAGTTTACATTTGGTCTTTTAATGGTTGCTATAATTTCGCTTTTAAACGGCACAGTTCTTCAAAGCCAACAGTGAAACGGCATCAACTGAGGTCTGTGGTGATGGCGAGGAGTTCTCGGTGGCTCATTTCTTCAGCTGTCATTTGTCAGAACACACTCATGTAATCTTAATGAACAATGTGCAAAGCCATTAAAAACTCAATTACGGCTTTCTTTTTACTGCAGACGTGAGAAAATGCAATCATAAAGTGCTGATGTGTAAACACAATAGCCACCATCTGCTACAGAGCAGCATTTCTGCTCCAAAAAGAGGATATATGTTGCAGATGCATCAATAATAGGACGCTTATCAAGGCGTCATTATGCACCAAGCAGGGGAAAAATTGAAATTTATGGCCAGCTAGAGAGCACTTCATGGTTTAATTCCCCAATTTTCAGTGGTATGTTTAATAACTATGAGAGAGTGCAGTTTTATGTTCCTGTCGTTTGAACGGATTTTTAAAAATGAATTTATTTACCGTCTTCCCGTCCTCCTTGCGTCTGACTGATCTGAACATAACACACTTGGTTTTGGTTATTCAGGAAGCTGGCAAAACCAGCAAGATATTAATTAATTGAACCTGTTGATCTAGGAGCAATAAATTTAATTGACCTGATATTCAATTTGCTTTAACGACCATATTCGTCTGTGTGCAATAAATATGAAAAAGCACTTTTACACAGTATAGGTAATTTTTTCCCCACCAAACTCCTTTTTCCAGTTCAGTGTTGACTTCATGCCGTTCTAGATGGAGGTAAACAAAACAACGGGGCTAAATGATTCTTTTTTTCTAATGTTATTATTTTTCAAATTTGGATATGCAGTGGTGTAATGAGTTTCTGCAAGATACCTTTTGTTTTATTCACATGTTTGCCTGGAGACGCTGAAGGGGCTTTCAGTCATTCACTGATCAATAATTTCCATTTGTGACATGTTAATTCATTCCCCAGCTCTCAGAGTGGAAAATGTGACAAGTGGTTTGTTGGTGCCAGACCAGATTGTATCTCTTTTATTTGCACATACAGGCCTATAAATTGAGAATAGGTCCCATCAGCTTCAATTCTGTGTTCAATCTACAGAAGGCTGTCAGGCTCTGAATCACAATATGTCAATTTTTATTAAAGATAATAAGGAAAAACACACTTGTCCTTAAAACGCCGCTTTGAATTTTTGGTGGTTTTTTTTTTTTGTGGATAACACATTCACAATGTGTGTTGTGGTTTTTTGTTTTGGGTTGGGGTTGTTGGTTTTTGGTTTTTCTCTACTGGGAGCAATCTTCATGATCTCTCACCTGTCTCTGAGTGCTGTATCCTGCCCAGACAAGCTTCACTGGGCATGGACATTTACAATAGGACATTTATAAGAGGCAGAGGGGATGGGATGGGATGGGATACCCGTTCACCTTCTTGCTGTGACGAGAAAAATGTAAAGATGGGTATATTTGGAGGCCAGTTTATAGAATGCAAGATATAGTTTATTCACAACTGAATTTTGTTGATTGGCATATTCTTGTTTCCAAGGTCAGTTTTAGTTTTGATGAAGCTGTAAGTTTACAGCCTCTGTGATGGCTTGAGGTGTGCTGCCCTACACCTTGAGTAGCCTGGGGAAGGGTTTGCGGTGGAAGCTGCCCCATGAAGTCTCTGTGGAAATAAGGGAAATGGTATAGTCAGTGGGTGGCAAACTGATCCAAACAGGGTGTGAGTGCCTTCCTCTGACAGAGATGACACTCTACGTGGAAATTTTTCATCTTTTCCACTGTTACATGAAACAATCTCTCTTATCAGGACTTCACTGGAGACACATTTTTGTGGTGTTTTCTGCTGTATCTCTAGGAATACTGTATTAAAAATTCATAAGCTGTAAATAAGCTATGAATAATTTGCATGACAGTTGTTTGTAAGGCTATTCTTTTAGTAACGAAGATGAATTATTTTGTTAAGCACTTTTCGGTGGATGGATGTTTTACTCGCGTTGTCAGTCTCTGGATTCGGGCTCTGTGCTCTCTCTGAATCGTCAGCAGTTGCACAAAAGGCCGTTGTTGTACACGAGTAGCTCGTGATTCATTTTCTTGTGGGTGGCAAAAAATAAAATTGTAATTATTGCTTAGAACTTTTTATAAAAGCTGATGGTTTTCGTCCCAGAGGAAAGCTTGTTATTTTTATACGTGTATCTGTATAAGTGAAATAGTCCCTAACTACTTCTATTATTGAAGCGCTTACCTACCCCAGTGCAGTTCAAGACTGTATTGTTAGACACAGCACAGCTTCAGAGTATCTTTAGGGTAGGAATCCATGTATTATCCAAATACAAAAAATAAGGAAGCTGAGAAGTGAAGTGATGTGCCCTGTGACCCAATCAATGGTGGTGCAAAAATCAGTTTTCCTGGGTTCCTACCCAGCATTGCAGGCACTCGGTCAAAAACCTTGCGGATGCACAGGAGCTCTGCTTTTCATACTGAGTGTTTTAATGACTGCACCACCATCCTCAAGGCTGCGATCTGGCAAATGTGGGTTTTTTTCATTGTATCTTGTACTGTTTCACAAAATGGCATTGAAATGCTGCAGGCAGCGCATTTCACAGCAGCTCCTCTATACTGTACTACTGTTACTCAGCAGTTTTACAGTGACTTCACTCCCAGATTCTCAGTAGAAGAATGATTCTTACGAATATTCTTACTTTACTTCTGAGGGAAGATAAGGCAGATGATGTGCACTGACAGACATCATGGACATGAGTGTTATAATTAGTGTTGGAAACCAAGCTGGGGGGTTTCCCTGCTCCTGCCTTCACTACTGGGCTGTGCTGCCTCTCCAAGCCTGTTGGCAATTGTGCTTTCTCATAGTAAGTTATCTTGGGTCAGAGAAACAGAATCCGAATCTCAGTTTCTCAAAACTTTAGCTCGTTTGGGTGGATTTTTAAGAGTAGTGTGCATATAGTACTTGCTGAAGAAGGGAATTTTGTGATCGACTGGGAGCAGGGTTAGATCAACAGTGAACATTTGTCAGGGTCCCATCCTATGCACTTGGATTATTGGAGAGAAATTGAAAAATTTGGATTTAGCTCTTACATTTCTTGAAGTCCTTGCTCGGAATCTGGAATATCTTGATTTGTGGCCATTTTGATTTTCAGCATATCAAAATGAAAGATGGGATTGCCAGAGAGCATCATGCCTATAAATTTTCATATTTCTTAGCCCAGCCTCTTCCCTTGCTGTGCTTGCATTGTGCTTGAATTTTCCAAGGTCTCCAGAGTGCGTGATTTTTTAATGAAAGATTGACTTCCTTCTGCTTTTCAGTCCTTTACAAAATGCATATGTATCGTATAAACACAGGGGAAAAAACATTTGTGTGGGAGAAAGTTGCTAGTATCTGTTGATTATAAATTTAGAATACATGGCTGTTCACTGCGCAGAATTGATCAGAATGTTTATCTGGCTCATCTAAGTGTCACACTGCTACAG